TGTGACATTAAGAATGTTGATATCGACGTCGAAGTTGCTGAAGGAGCCATTAAATCGGACTATTGATGTGTTTCCTTACTTCATATATATCTTTTTATTTCATTATTATTATTACTATTTTTTTTTTGTTTTTTAGCAGTTGAAAGAAACTTTTGAATTTTAGAGGTTGACAGTTTTTTTTTATTGAAATGAAATGTTTTTTAATTCGAAAAAATTTTTCTTAGTTTTAATTAACTTTTTTTTAAGCTAAATTGAGTTCTTTTTAAATCGACAGAAATTGTAAATAGTGTTTTTGAATGAATAGTTTTTTCTTTTTTTTAAGCGAAGTAATTGTAAATAGGATTTTAAAAGTTTTTTAATAAAATTGTCTATTATTATTACATTATTATTATTATTATTATTATTATTATTATTATTATTATTATTATTATGTACAACATGCACCAAGAGAGAATTCTCTCTTGCATGCACACATACAGTAATTGGATCAGAAATAATATCAAAATTTGACAGAATTTATAACATGTACACGCACACGCCCCCAGCCATACTGACTTTGACTTAATTTTCGCTAAAATATTTCCTTAATTCCTCTGAAAATCATTACCACAGAAATCCATCGGGGCTCGACCATTCCCGCTGTCACGGAGCACTATCAGGTCCAAACCTAGTGGCAAAGACTCCATTAAGGTGGCTTTTAGTTCCTCAAAGAAAACAATTTGCCCATTTGGAGGTGCATAAGCTGTACGCATTAAGAAGGATTCAAATTTTTTACGTTGAATCTTAATCTAGTGTTGGTGGAAAAAGGAAGGATTCATACACAAACGATACGACGTTTGTCATCGCGGCTTTGTAGACTGCTACTCATTGACAACCTCCCGATTAAAGTTCTCCAAGATCCTTTGAAAAAACGTAAATATGACATAAGTGAGAGTATAGATTTTGAGGAAAAAGAAAGGTTTAGAGATGTAGAGAGGGGGTTCTGTTCAAGTGGTACGACTTGTACGATTCGTGACACTGGTGAAGTCGCATCTCCTTAGTACCGTTTGGAATTTGTGGGAAGAGTTCAAAAATGTAGAGAGAAGGCCCTGTTCATGATTCGACTTGTACGAGTCGTACAACTGGTGAAATCACTTCTCATTAGGGGCACTTAGGATTTTCCAGCAAAGTTGCTGAGCGCAATCTTGCTTTTAGCTAAATTTTAATTATGTCTAAAACAGGACTCAAAGTTTACTTTTGGTCTTGGGAGCAATTCTACCACTAGGTGCAAATTTCTAGTCGTACAGCAAAAATTTTAGGCGCTCAGATAAAAAAAGTTAGGAGCACTGACTAAAATACTGGCGGCACCAAAAAGAGATATCGGAACGCTTCAGCCGTATTATTACTATAAGTAGTCATTTATCAGTATGTCATATTTCAGTCCACTGTTTGTTTAGTTGTCGTTACGTTTAAGGTGGTTCGACTGGATTTTTTAGGGAGTATACTGTCCCATTTTGCGCGTTTACTACGTCGGCATTGACAAAGATATCGGAAAAAAGTTACCAGAGCTGTAATGTATAAAGATGAAAATTTGTTTATGATCCATGTTTTACTGGCATCGGAGTTGACCTGGACTACCTCACCTTTTATTACTCTCTTATAATTACATCTGACCTTTTATTATTACTCTTTAGTATATCCCTACCTAACACACTGTAATGTTGTCTGGTCCTCCACCTACTGCTCTAACCTAAACTGTATTCACCTTTTGCAGAAGTGCATAGGGATACTTATAGAAAAAGCTCGCTATCTAGCCATTATTTGGCCAACTTAAGGTCCTTGACACATTTTTTAAAAGCGGTAATTCTTTTTCTGTAGCTACATTTACGTATTCCTATCGCCATAATCTTCCTAGTAGCTCTAGTCGCCTCTTTTGAAGTTAAGTAATCACGGTCACTGTTATGAAACTCGACTTATTCCTCTCATTTAGACCTCATTTTTTTGAACTATTATTAGCAGTTCAGTGTCCTTTATTGAGGACCAACAATGTGGATTTCGTTGCCAATTTTACTAACCAGCTCTGCTTCCATATTATCTGTTTTTTTAAAAAAAAATCTGAAAACTTCTCTCATTGATAGTTGTTCTGTCACTTAAATTTTGTTTTCTGTTCACTCTGCCCTCAAGTAAGTAATTAGTAATCTAGCTTAAGGATGCCTATTAATATAAGCTCCCACCTTATTTATAGGCTTCCTTGTCACATTAACTTATAATTTATTTTAATGAACACCTTTTGTAACATTTTATTGTTATGTTATTTGTGTGACAAAAAAATATAAATAATGAATTTTAAAGTTACATTTATTAATTATAGTACTGTGAATGTTGCTATAAAAAGTCTTGTCATGCTGGGCGTTACGTTATTTTCCCTTGTGTTGGCTTTGTTTTCAGGTTTTGCTTCAAAATGATGGACTTTTGAAAGGATTGTGTTTTCCATTTTCTGCTTGACTGACCAGTAGCTTGTAATATTTTCATGCTTCTGATGGGCCTACTCAACTTGCAGCTTTCTATTTCCTAATTAAATTAAAGAACTTTAAAATAGGATTGATTTTATTATTAAATAAGGTGATTGTTAAAATCTCTGATTTTTATGACATGTTAATGCCAAATTTTGTATCTAGTTTTTGTAAACGAAAAGTACAACTGTAAAAAGAAACAGTAACAAGCAGTGGTAGGCAGCATAGAGCTGTTGAGTCCACTTTAGTCTGACAGCTATGCGTTGCTGATGAACCCTAATGAGGACGATACAGGTGTAACTGTGCTGTTGCATAAAGTACTGGCCATACCACAGAGTTGTGCTAAGTGGCACCCATTACTTTTCCTTTAGTTTCTTTCTAGTAGTTTTCTGCCAATACAAAAGTGCATCAAAAGATTTCTATTCCAACAGATGGTGCTGAACTTCCTGCCCGTGCTGTTTGTCAGGTCACGAGAAAAAGTGAAAAAGATTGGGGATCTACTGAGATCATTAAAATCCAACGGGAACCCAAAGAAGAGATGCAAGGGTTGGCTTTAGTACCTGTTACTTCATTACAGCAGGAAACATCAGTCACAAAAGGTATGACGCACTGAAAAGTGAAGGACATCATGAACAAAATTTAATAATCGTTATTATGACTAAAATAATAATTTTGGGGCAGTTTTTTTTGCCTCTTGTGTTGTCTGTGGCCATCATTGTTGGTAAAGAATGGTGGGTGTGGTAAAAGCTAACAGAACGTGCTCAAGGAAATGACGCAGGAAATACCTAGATTAGGTGAGAATTTTGTGCAGTTGTTTCCTTTGTTCCAAGGGACTTTGTCATACTGAGTGTGTATTTTAAAATGTGCTGCTTCCACAGCTTCCCTTGATTTTGTGTAAACATAATCATCCAGAACAAAGGGAACTATTGATTAAATGCGAATTTAAAATATTTTTTATGCAAGCTGACCCTGGTCTCAGATTTATTAAGTTGTCCTAATCTAAGATTTCTTGTAAGTGTTGTTTCTTAGCAATAGCCCTGCTGTCAGTGTTGTACATGGAGTTAACGCCATTAAACTTGGTACATGTAAGCAATATTCTTCTTGCTGTAAGAACTGGAATGGCAATAGACCTCTTTCATAATGGCGGCTTATTGATGTATTCTTTTATATGTATGACAATTAGCCTTTCTGACCTCGTTTAAAAGTAAAAATTCTTTTGTATTTTTCAAATCTTAACGAGGTCAGAAAAGCTATTTATCATACATATAAAAAAATAATATTAGTAAGCTGCCAGGGGGTCTTTTTGGTGGCATACCTGTATGTGCAGTGATATAAATGCTTTTGAGTTTTTCTGTCCGTGTGACAGGCAACTTGGAAATTGTGGTGTATAGTAACTAGAAGGTCATAGGTTGTACTCCTTCCTGGAAAACTCGGGTTTGTTTTTTCCACTCTCCTGTTCACTGACTGAAAAACACTCTGGGCTTAAAATTCACCATCAGATTTGTTCCAGGACCAGGGCTTTTTAGATTCCATCCTGCAATTTTTTAGATCATTGCCAGTAGTTCCACCCATATTTTCCTAAAAAATTTAGCTTTGACAGAATACATTTTGGAAGTGTGCCCCATTGGTAGTTGTAGTTGCTGTTTTTGTTGATTTTTTTTAACTGGCATGATCATGAAAAAACTACTCAATGTGATCATGAGATCTTCATGGCCTGTAGGGGGAGGGAGAAGGGAAGGAGGCAGACTTTGTACAGTAAATGTGGTTAGTTGCAGATACCTAGGTATAAGAGATGTGATTACCAGGGGATAACTAATGTGGCCCAAATGCATTGCAATATTATTGTGGATCTCAGGAATAAGCCATTGTCATAACAAATGGAATCATTTATTTATTTTTTACTGCAGTTGTCAGAAGTATCTTTTCCTGGCCCTTTTAATGAATCCTTTTGAGATTTAGACAACAGTAGACCTACCGGTAACTTGCACAAGAACGTAAAATCCTATAAAGCATTCTGGTAGTTACCATTTTTTCATTAATGATGATTATGACCAATGATGACAATTCAGAAGGTCTCTTTTCCATTTTGCAGGCAAAGATTACCTTACTTGAAAGTGAAACGAAAAAGACCAGAGAACCAAACAATACAATCAATCAATCAATCAATCAATCTTTATTAGTGCTCTTGGTACATACAGAAAGTAATTAAAGGTTGAAACTTAACAAAAAAGAGAGTACAGCCACTTAGAATTAGTAAATGCTGGTGCGGTAAGTGATTGTTTGGTTCTTCTGAACATTTCGTTTGTTGTATGTAGTCTGTTCCAATACATACAGAAGAACTCAAGTTTGAAGATCCCCGTTACGTTTTTTAATATTGCAGTTTATCTTGATATACATATTGACTGCGATTTTATGACTGGACCTGGACTACCAGGAAGAGGTGTTCCGTCTGCACAAGAAGTTTTAGATTATATAAAATTGAAGTTATCAAAGTTTTTTAAATCAGCTGGCCCACGTGAACTGGAAGCGGTAAAGAGTGAGGAGCAGAACGTGCAGTGTAGCGGTGCGACTACCAGTCTGGAAGAAGAGTGTTCCCATGTCATAGAACCTGGTCCATATAAGAGAGATACAAGAATAGGCCATGGCGATATTGGAAATGAAAGCACACCCTCTATGAAGTCGGAAAATCCTGACATAAAAGTGCAGGACTATAGTGAGGCAACAGGAGCTAGAGAGTTGTCCTCTAGCCAGGAAGTTTTGAATTTAATTGCTACTAAGTACATAAGCAATTTGAAGCCATCATCACAGGAGGAGTTTAATGATTTTATACAGTATATGGAACAAGTTCGTCAAGTGGTTGTTGCTGATATTAAAACAGGAAGCTTAATAATCACAGCAATTTGTAACTCTCTAGAGATCTTGGATGAACTGTGGATAGCCCATTGCACAGGTACCCTTAACAAAATGGCACAGTCTCTAGTAACAGAGGATGTTCTGAAAACGTTTGGGCTAACCGAGGTGAAACTTATAACTACCATCGTGGAAGAAGAGTATGAAGCTTGTCGAGAGGTGTTTTTAAAAGAAGGTGTAGGTGGGTATATTTTATGGACACTGTCACATCTTTTCCGTAGGTTATGATACTTAATAGAAGTAAGGTGAAAGGTGTTCGTGCTTCCTGATGTTTGCGGCAGAAAAAACGGCAGTTTACTTGTGTCCCCAGTTCTTTTTCTACATTTTTTTTTAAGGTTATTCATGAAGTGTCAGGCCCGCCGAGATCAACGATTTATCGTAAAATATTACAGTATCACGGTTTTGGAATAAGAGATAGGATTCAATTGAATTGGGATCATTTTCAAATATATAGAAGTGTATAAATTTGTAATTTTTCGTCTGACGGTTTTTCCCGAAGGCTTTAATTTAAACATTGTCAAGGTGAAACGAAAAGGTTTTCCCGATGCATCTCTCTTTACGTGTGGAATGACCGTCAGCTACATTATTCTTTACTTTAAAAGAGTACATTGTATTTTTTGGGTGAAGAAGCTTAATTCCCGCAAAAATATTCCTTGAAAGTCCCGCTAACGTTTCCGCCTCGAAATCAAATATTCCAACCAAAATCTAAAGAATGAAAGCGCAGGTCCAACCTAACAAACCAATCCATTTTGCTGAATTACCTCGATCTTAAATGTAAACAACAACGGTTTCCGTGCCTGCATGTTAATGATTAGGACTTTCGACTGGTTCACGCATAACAGCGGTGATTTGGGCACCATTTCGTTAACGGAGCGAGGCTGTGCCGCGCCGATCCCTAAATAAGTGGAGTCACATACCGGATATTTATGTTCACACTAGACCGGACACATCCGGGCCCCGGGTCATAACCACTTAAAAACGGCTAAATTTTTTTCTTTTTGCGGTAAGTTAGCCTTGTTATTAACCAGGAATAAGTTAAATTTTTGAATGATTACGTGAGAAAAGAGGTGTTTGACGTGGAAAAGGCCAAAACGAATCTTTTTGTTCGGAGAAGCTTAAAATTAATCAGATACTATAGGGTTTCTGTTCACCCATAAGAACGGTGATTTTGGCGCGATTTCTGTAACGGAGCGAAGCTGGGCGCGCAGATCTCTTAGGCTGTCAGTTTTCACCCTATACCGGATACTTTTTATTATAGCTTTTGCGCCTGCACGAAAACCAAACCGGATACATTGTAGGGCTGCCGATCACTCATAAGAAGGGTGATTTCGGCGCGATTTTGGTAACCGGGCGAAGCTGCGCCGCGCCTATCTCCGAGTCTATGTTCACACTATATGGGATATTTTATATTACCTTTGCGCCGGCACGAAAACCATGAAAACGTTGAAGTAGCAATTTTAATTATTTCCTGGTGATATTCACACTAGAACTTCAAGTCAGACATATACTATAAGTGGTCAGACTTGAGGCAGACGTGAATGCAGAAGGCATTAATGCTCTCTAGACAAGTATTACTTGAGATTAATTCTTTAATACGTTTCCTTGGCGGGATATCATTAAACTCTTATGCAACTTTTCCTTGAAGGTAGCATTTACTTGTCTACTACCTGTACTCTTCTGAGGCCTGTATGTGTATCAGGCGAGGGGGTGGGGTGGGGGGGGGGGGGGTAGGTTCAGCTAAAAGATAGTAGGCATGCAGCCTTCTTGTTTTGCTGCTCTATTTTTCATAGTTTTTAAAAAGAGAAACACAAAATGAAAACGACTGTTTTAATGAAATACGTGAAACTTGGGTGGCGTATGCGCGGCGAAGCTAACGGAACGAAATCGAACCAAAAATCAATCGAACCAAATCGATCGGATTGTTATTCGAGTGGTTCGGTAATCGAACATAATCGAATTGGAACTAGCTTGGAACTTTTCGGTGAATTCACTTAATCGAACTCGTGAGTTCGATTACCGAACTCAATCGAACTAATCGAACTTAATCAAAGCGAATTGTTCGATTTTGCTCGGCAGAAAGACAAAACGGTTTGAACACAGTGATCATTTAGTTTCAATTCAATCGAAAAAATTCCCCCTGAGGCAGGTATGAAAACATAAGGACATTTCAGTTGACTTAGATCTTCATTGTTAAAGTAATCAAGAAATTCGCAGTTAATACTGGAAGTGCTTAATGACCTTAGCGGGCATAATACTTGCACTTTGACTTCGACAGTCAATGGGCAACGCACCGGCATCAGTTCACGTTGCAAAGTCTAAGCTGACCGGGCCGCCGCCATTGCCAGTTACCGTAAGAGCTGGATCCCTACCTCCCCTTTTTCTCTTACCAAAAAACTTTTCATCCATACCGACGGCGAAAGGGCACTCGTGCTAACCTTTAACCATCAGTAACGGCCATCGCTTCCAGAATTGTTAGTTTCACGCTGGGTTTAACGATTTCGGCTTTCTCCGACATCTTGCCTATATACTCAGGTTGAAATTGAAGCTAACACACAACTCATTTTTTAACCACAGTGCTTGTTTGAAACGAGATCAGCCGAGGATATGAAACTTGTTTTGTGTTCAATTGTTGACGTTTCCATCTCAAAACGTTCGATTATGCTCGATTGGGAAAGGTTTTAGGTGAGTTCGATTACCGAACCCAGTCGAAGTCAATCGAACGATCGGCGTTCGATTGAGTTCGATTACCGAACGTTCGATTGACTACGGCGGGCGTATGAAATTTCAGCTCAATTCTGAGATAACGCCATTCACAAACGCTCACGTCAATTTCACTTTTTGCTGGTCGTCAAGAAACACTGGGAACCTTTACATTTGCCAGCTTACTAAAGGTTTCAAGTCCAACAGTACCATCATTAAGCAAAGTACACACTCGACCACCTTAGTAGATAAAGTCAGTCTTACCTGAAGTTCTAGTGTGAACCCACACACCTTTGTTCATCCTTTTGGAAACACTAACGTCAGTTCCTCGGATGTGTTGTTCGGACCGTTTTCTTCGCTTTTTTTTCGGGTTCGTCCAATTATATGCTTAAACTAAAATATTTTTGTCTTAAAGAACCCAGTGAGAAACCTGAAACCCAAGCCAGTAACCGCGTTAGTGATGACGACGAGAGAGACTGTGACAGCAATAAACTCAAAGGGCGTTTAGAAAACCCACGTCAGATGCAACAAGAAACCAACGAAGATCTATCAAAGGAACCATCAACCAGTAGGTAAGTAATAAAACAAAAATCAGAAGTATCGTTGAAGAACCAACAGAGGCCTCTCCCGTACTTTGGATCAATTTGAATTACAACTGCAATATACTTTGAACGCTTTAACAGACTAAGAGAACTACAACCTCGGATAAAGCCTTGTGAGACACATTTCAAAAATGCCTGTTTTTGCACTCATCCCACAGGGGCCCCAGACAATCTGTTTGTGTAACTGTTTGTAATTTTATAGTAAATGTACTAGATTTACCGTTTGTTTCACTTGTAGCGATATATCGCTAAATATTTGCTTGGATCAATAATCGTTGTATCAGTCATGGATCCTCGTTTCTTTTACACATCCCATGAGGCTTGGAGTGGGATTTATTTGAGGAGGTGGAAGCGGTGGGTTCGGGGCAGGGTCTGTTCCTAATATTACATATTTAAATGACTCGAAAATAGGGGTCTTACGGCGTCTTAGTAACTGGGGCGAAATGACCGGTTACCTCCGGTAGGTTGACTTTTCACTTCCACTTCGTTGATCTGAGTGATTGGCATTCTTTGTGGGTAAGCCTGATTTTGTTTCAATTTTCCATCTTTTTCAACTGCCTAAATGATGATGAAATTCACTGCAGACTACCTTGAGTACGTAGAGTCCCGCTCTGACCACTTGCTGCATTTTGTTTACGCTAGTCCCGAGTTCAAATGTTCTGCCGTGCTTTCAAATAACCAACTGGTTGCCTCCTGCCAGTTGTGGTGTTTAATCCTGTTATATTATGTTTAAATTATGTGTTTCTGATCATTTGAGTGAAGTGCCTGTAAACTAGCTGGACAGGCTAAGTGCACTTTCCACTATAACCAAACCTTTAACAATGCTAATACCACATTTGGGCAAAGTTTGAAACATAGTACCTTTAACTATAATCCGACATGGAAAGCATGCATATTTTACTGTAACATTTGTTTTTGTACCTTTAGCGAACCTGGAGATTCACGCGGGGACCTCGGGAGTGCTGTTTCTCGTTATAGCTCATTTTTATCCAAAGAGGTGAGCAAGCAAAGTTTAAAAAAAAATGGCGCATTTCTTATTTGCAGTTATCCCGTTCGCCGCTGAACCTCCGCAACCGCCCACGTTCCATCTACTGCTTGTGACATCATCAGTTTTGAACGGTCAAGAACAACTACTATTAAGTCATCTATCAGGGGGAAGAGGTCTTTCAAACCATAACAGAATAAGCACAATTCAGTGAAAACTTTTTATTATAGCTTTTGCGCCTGCACGAAAACCAAACCGGATACATTGTAGGGCTGCCGATCACTCATAAGAAGGGTGATTTCGGCGCGATTTTGGTAACCGGGCGAAGCTGCGCCGCGCCTATCTCCTAGGCTATGTTCACACTATATGGGATATTTTATATTACCTTTGCGCCGGCACGAAAACCATGAAAACGTTGAAGCAGCAATTTTAATTATTTCCTGGTGATATTCACACTAGAACTTCAAGTCAGACATATACTATAAGTGGTCAGACTTGAGGCAGACGTGAATGCAGAAAGCATTAATGCTCTCTAGACAAGTATTACTTGAGATTAATTCTTTAATACGTTTCCTTGGCGGGATATCATTAAACTCTTATGCAACTTTTCCTTGAAGATAGCATTTACTTGTCTACTACCTGTACTCTTCTGAGGCCTGTATGTGTATCAGGCGAGGGGGTGGGGTTGGGGGGGGGGGTGGTAGGTTCAGCTAAAAGATAGTAGGTATGCAGCCTTCTTGTTTTGCTGCTCTATTTTTCATAGTTTTTAAAAAGAGAAACACAAAATGAAAACGACTGTTTTAATGAAATAGTGAAACTTGGGTGGCGAATGCGCGGCGAAGCTAACGGAACGAAATCGAACCAAAAATCAATCGAACCAAATCGATCGGATTGTTATTCGAGTGGTTCGGTAATCGAACATAATCGAATTGGAACTAGCT